ATAGCTCTGGGCTGATTTTCCACATCCATTTTTTCAAGGCGAGCACGGCAACGATCGTCCTCCGCAATATGAAAAGCTTCATCGGCACCAATATGAATCCTCTTCGATTTGGGATGAAGAGTACGAATCTATTATAAGTTTCTGTTGGGTAATCACTGGTGCTTTAGCTATTACAAATACAAGCAATAGATAATCAAAAGATGAATCGGAAAGGGGGGGGGGAATAGCTGATTTTTCCTGTTTTACGCGCGCTAATCCCACCTCTTTCCTAGACAATAGGTGGTATTGCCAAAGTCCTATAACACTACTATTTTTGATAGTCGAATTCAATAGTTGTTTGGTAATTGCGTAGCTTTTTCTCCTCCCTACTTGACGGCAAAACGTTCGAATTTCGAGGGAAAATAGAAGCATACGTGAAAAATTTCGGATTCCTGAGAAAAGTGATAGGACATTGGGAAAACTCAAGAAGATGGAACGTAAGATGGGAAAAGGGAGTCGTACCAGGGGAAGAAAGTTGGGGGAGGGGGAGTGGGATTTTGCTAAACATTCCCCAGCTACAGGGAAGTACCTGTTTGGAAAGAGGACAAATTTATCAAGATCACCTGCTTGATCATGTTTTCTATCAGCCTGATTGAACGTTCATCCGATGGACATATTGTATCATCCTAAAATATCGATAATTATTTGAAAGAATTGAATTCCTACAAATATTTTTACAGAGGCTCATCACTGTTGAGTACAACTTAAGGAGAGAGAGGGTGTATTTGGACGTTATGGGGTCCCATTTGGCCCCGGGAGCTCTGTAAATTGACGGTTTTTCTCCCTTTCAAACGCAGTAACCTACCAACTCCGATAAATCAGAGGTGTCTATCCCCTCCCGTTTAGTCATCGACAGCAAAATTCTGTAAAATGTAAGGAGCTGGTAAGAAGAATAAGGGGGGGGGGTCACAGCAAAAAGTTTCCACAACGCTATGATGTACTTTGATCCTCATGCCCAAGGCATCAAGCACTACTCCGTGTTGCAAATGGTCTCACAAAAGGACCTAATGCCCCTAATGAAACCCAAGAACGTCTACTGCTTTCAAATTAGATGAGCGCAGGATAGTAGCTTTTT